AAAAAAAAAAAAAAAAAAAAAAAAATAGTTATTTTTATTTACTATTATTGTTTAATTTTTATAGGGCACGAGCACTTACAGAGAGACAGAGAGAGCGAGAGAGTGAGAAAGCACACCACCAGACTCAAGACAGTGGTCAGCCATGTGGGAATACAGTGCTTTAACAAACATGCTGCCTGATAGCCCAATATATCCTCATTTATATCCAGAGAATAGTTTTTCATAAAAATTCACTGAGTTCCTCAGAAAAACTTGGGGTTTTGGGAACAGCAGTTGGCGCAATGCCTATGTCACTGGACTCCCATGTAGTCAACTGCGGTTCAAGTCCCAGGCCCAGAGGCTTAAACTCATGCCAGGCACGTGTGCATGCATGCCCAAGATCCCAGGGAGAGAATGGAGAAGGGATTGCAGTGTGGCCATCCTGCCAGGGGGTAATTTCTCACTTTCTGTCGCTCTCTCTCTCTGCCTTTCTGGCAAATGTACACATCCTATAGGAAAAACCTCTCAAAAAAAAAAAAGAAAAAGAAAAACTTGGGATTCTTCTCATTCCTATAAGTATTTATATTCAAAAAAGCAAATTTATAAAACAAAATTACAAGTCCTTTGGGCCAGGTGTTCCTGCCTAGGAGATCATCAGACACACATGCAGAGAGATGATCATCAGGGCTGTCCACAGCAGAGAAGCCAGGTGGTCTCTGGTATACTCCCACTGAAAGCGTGACTGAGGCTTGTGTACACAGAAATGGAAATGCTTTTCACTGAAAGTGGGTGCATGACACAGCACCTGGACCTTTCCTGATAAAATGCAGTGTTCAAACATGGCCGTGGAAATGCCAGCCCTAGAGAAGGAACAGGGAATAGGATAGAACACAGCTGCATCTAAGGGGCAAGATTCATGGGAAATGTGTTCTCCCATCTTCTCAAAATGATCTATGATTGTCAAGTGGGTTAGTTATTTAGGAAGAAGGGAAATGAGCGATGATCTCCATGACTACACCTTCATCTGACCTTCCCCATAGGGAATGAGCTCTGTAGGGTCCTATGTGATCCCAGGCTTCCTTCACAGTACTCCTACTCACTCTCCTCTGAACCTGCTCTGCCTGGAAAGCCCTGCCATATTGTCCCCAACACTATCTCCACCTTCCTAGAAAATTCTGCTCAAGATTCTTCCCACCGAGGCATCCAGGCTCACAGAGGTGACTTCAGCAGAGGCGTCCATGCTGGCCCTGATATGTCTTGCTCAAAGTCCCGAATCATTTGCCAGATGCCTTGGACCTAAGATGTTCATTGAATGACTGAGGAGAGAGAGCAGTTCCCCTCACGCACCTGGGCTGGTGACTCTTAGTTGCTCTCCCCCCTTGGTCCCTTGCTCATCCAGGACCCATGGTTCATCCCCTCGCTCCAGCTGTGAGATCACTCCAGGCTTGGGACTTGCAGGTCCTGCGCCTGGGAGAGACAGGCCTGAGGTTGGTTCCAAGGACCTTGGTGTGTGGCTGCACCCAGTGATGTCTCACCTGGGGCTGTGGGGAAGGGAAGCACAGGCAGGGGCTGATGGGAACCAGGATGCCCTCTGGAGGAGGCTGTGAATGGGCTAGGATGGTCATGAAGATGGAGGTACTAGCACAGGGAGCAAGAGCTCAGGGCTGTCTCCACTGAAGGTGTGAGTTCCTGCTGGAGAGCAGTGTGCACCAGGCCTGCAGCACAGGTCCGCTTCCTCCGGGAGCTCAGAGGGTCCCTGCACCACCCATGTCCTCCACTTCCCCGAACAGGCCTGCCTGGGACCAGTGTCGATGTTGTCCACCTCCGGGCCCCAGGTTGGGGCCCCAGGCAAGCCCCTGATGAGCTCTCAGTCCCCAGGGCTGTTCCCAGGACTGAGTCCCAGCGAGGGGCCTTACCCACTGAGATCAAGTTCCTGTAGTTCTCCAGCATCACATCCCTGTAGAGGCCCCTCTGAGCAGGGCCCAGGTGGGCCCAATCCTCCCGGGAGAGGAGCACAGCCACATCCTCAAAAGTCACCTCGGCCTGGAATGAGAAGACACCACTCAGCCCCAAGAATGGCCCAGAGTTGATGCCGGGAGACAGAAGGCAGCAGAAGTGTTTCAAGCCCAGCAGATAGGGAGTGTCACTACCCTTTCCTGCTAATGTGTCCCAAGGTGTGGCTGCAGGCAGGTCCAAGGGTCACCTCTCCTTTGATGTCAGCACCCCAGACCAGAGACACCTGACAGTGGTTGCTGAGGAAAGCAACCTGTGTGACAACTCGTAGGACAGACGCTCACCTGGGGCTGGAGTAAGGCTGCCATCACCCCTGCCCTGGGCTTCCTTGGTAGAGGCGGGAGTTGGTCACTCAGGTTCTAGGAAAGAGAAAAAAGCACATGGTGGCCTGGCCAGCCCCTTTCTCCACAGCTCAAGCTGCTTGGTGCACCCTTAAACAGCCCTGACTACTGTGCCCTCCCTGGTTGGTGTCCCTGCCCTCCCCACGGGGGCATCCTTGGCCTCCCTGGCAAGGTTCCTGCCTGCGGTTGCCCTCCTAGCCACTCACTGCCCACAAGGATGGCCCCTCAGGCCGACCGCTCCTCCCACCTAGCTGACACACTGCGGCTTTGTTCAAGATGATGAGAGCCAGCCCTACGGCCTAGTGCGGAGGGAGCTGGATCCCAGCCCTAGAGACTTGACAAAGCCTGCCACACCCACATGCCACCCCAGCGTGGGGGTGGGAGGTACCACCCACGAGGGGACCATGACAGGTTTTCTTCCCAGCTCAGGCCATGTCTAACACGTAGGTTAAGACTGAAGGCCTCACAGCATCCAGCACCCCATCACCCCTGTAGTACATGTCCCGCTTGAACGCCCTGAGGCTGAGTATGGGCCGAGCGTGTGGTCTCACCAGTCATTACCTTCCAGTGTTTCTCTGATATGAATTTTCTACCTGGACAAGGTTTGAAATAAAGCTTTTATAATAGACATTGCATTTATCAGGATTCTCTCCAGCATGTGTTCTCAGATGCACATTAAGATGTGAGTTTTGGGACCAGCAGTTAGCGTAATGGCTATGTTGCTGGACTCCCACGTAGCCGACCGCAGTTCGAGTCCCGGACCCAGTGACTTAAACTCACACCGGGCACGTGTGCGTGCGTGCCCAAGATCCCAAGAGGAGAATGGAGGAGAAGGGATTGCAGCATGGCCAGCCCCCCTGGGGGGTGATTTCTCACTTTCAGTCTCTCTATCTCTCTCTGTCTGTCTGGTGAGTGCACACGCCTTATAGGAAAAAACCTCTCAAAAAAAAAAAAATGTGAGTTTTGGGGGACCACCAGTTAGCGTAGTGTCTATGTCACTAGACTCCCATGTAGTTGACCACGGTTCGTGTCCTGGACCCAGTGGCTTAAACTCATGCCGGGCGTGTGTGTGTGCGTGCCCAGGATCCCAAGAAGAGAATGGAAGAGAATGAATTGCGGCGTGGCCATGCCCCCTGGGGAGTGACTTCTCGCTTTCTGTCTTTCTGTCTCTGTCTTTCTGGTGAGCACACGCGCCCTATAGCAAAATCCTCTCCCAAAAATAAATAAATAAATAAATAAAATAATGACAATGAGTAAAATGAAATAAAATCATTCTTAAAAAAAATGTTGGAAGCAGCAGAGGACATAATGGTTGCAGTGCTGGACTCCCATAGGGCTGACCGTGGCTGTAGTCCCGGGCTCCGCAGCTTGAAACTCACACTGGTCACATGTGCGTGCATGCCCCAAATCCTGAGAGGAGAACGGAGGAGAAGGGATTGCGGTGTGGCCATCCCCCCGGGGGTTATTTCTCACTTTCTGTCTCTCCAGTGAGCGCACACAGCCTCTAGCAAAAAAGAACTGTCTCTAATAATAATGATGATGGTAAATAAAATTAAATTTTTTTTAAAAAGTGTGAGTTTTGACTAAACATCTTGCTCTACTGAATATACTTACAGTGTTTCTCACCAGTGCAAATTATGGGATGTGTGTCAAGATCTGCTCTGACTGAATGATTTGCCACGTGATTACAAATACAAGGACTTTTTCCCCCAATGTGTGTTCTTTTTATAAAAAAGAATTATTTATTTAATTTTATTTATTACTATCATGTTTCAGTTTGACCAGAGAGACATACAGAAAAGGAAAATGAGAAAGTAAGCCACCAGGTCCCATACTTGAACCACTGTTGGTGATGTGGGAGTCCAGTGCTTTAACCACTATGCCACCTGCCAGCCCCAATATGTGTGCTTTTATGTTGAAGATTTCAGCATTTTTCTTTAAGAACTATTTATTTAATTTCATTTATTATTATTTTTAAATTTGCTATAGAGCACATGTGCTCACCAAAGAGAGACAGAGAAAGAGAGAAGAAAAGTGAGAAAGCAAACCACCAGATTCAGGACTTGAACCATTTATATATAAATTGAAATCGTGAGACCAGCAGATGGCATGGTGGTTAAGGTGCTGGACACTCCCACATGGCCATTATTCTTCTCTCCCACCCTCACTAGCCTCAGCTGCTACGTTTGTTTTGTGTGTGTGTGTGTGTGTGTGTGTGTGTGTGTGTGTGTGTGTGTCTTTCCTCTGGTCAGATTAAAATAAGTGAATGAATAAATAAAATTAAATGAATAATTCTTAAAAAAAAAAAAGAAATAAATAAATCATAACCTTACCATATGTAATGTTTCATATTTCCTGTTAAATCTTTTTGGGGGGGTGGGGGAGGAGAGGTTTTTGCTATAGGGTGCGTGCAATCACCAGAAAGACAGAGAGATAGAGAAACAGAAAGCGAGAATCACCCCCCAGGGGGGATGGCCACGCCACAATCTCTTCTCCTCCATTCTCCTCTAGGGATCTTGGGCACGCATGCACACGCACCCCGCTTGAGTTTAAGCCACTGGGTCTGGGACTTGAACCACACTCAACTACATGAGAGTCCAGCGACATAGCCATTACACTAACTGCTGGTCTCAATCTTGTTTTCTTTTAAATAGATTTTTTGCTGTAGGGTGTGTGCACTTGCCAGACAGAGCAAGAGAGAGAGGAAGAGAGAAATCATCACCCCCTAGAGGGATAGCCACACTGCAATCCCTTCTATTCCTCTTCTCTTCGAATTTTTTAGAGGTTTTTGCCTTAGGGTGTGTAGACTAGCAGAGGAGAGAGAAAGAGAGACAGAGACAAAGTGAGAAATCACTCTCCCAGAGGTATAACCACACTGTAATCCCTTCTCCATTTTCTTCCCTGGATCTTGGACATGCATGCACATCGGCTGGCGTTATTTTCAAACCACCAGGTCTAGGACTCAAACCCTGTTCAACCATGTGGGAACCCAGCAACGTCACCACTACACCTTCTGTTGGCCCCTCTTCTTGGAATTTTGAGCATGTGCACAAGTGCCTGGCATGATTTTTTTTTTTTTTTTTTTTTGGGGGGTTTTTGTAGG